TCCTGGACTACACGCCTAACCACTTTTCAACTTTACTAGAAGTACGCTATGAATACTATTGTCGAAATGCTTAATTCTGATTTAGTAACATTATTTTCACTCACTTAAGTTGAATTCATCTTATTCCACATCAGTTGTTGTGCTCATTTTATTCACATCAATTGTGATTACATCTCAGTCCTACAGGAGGTCAGTCGCGGCTCGGATAGCTCAGTGGTAACGTCGCTGACTGTGAAGCTGGGTGACACGAGATCGAATCCGCCAGGGAGCACCAGTTCCCTCAAGATTACAGGTACACCTTGCTGACGAGTGCCAAGTAGCACGAAACCCGAGTCCAGGGTTTCCTGTTGACTACCTCCAACCACCATCTAAATCTTAATATATAGTGCCTGCAGTGTCGAGTCACCTAGAGTGGTGGCCACATTGCAACATGATCGATAGCATTCGATCTGCACTAAATAAGGACTTGACACACATGACATTGATCACCACCCAGTGATCAATCAATTGTGATTAATGTGGGTTATTTTTAGTAATACAATTATGTATTTGATGATTCTCATTTTACTTGCTCATCAATGACTCAGAAAGAATTTTCAACCTTTAACTTGCATATTTATTTATTCCTTCATATAAAACATAGTAATATCGAATATCAATCATTAATAACATAATCTTACCCATACATGCACACACACACACAATTCGTCCTGTCATTTATTTGTCACATCGTGAACTTTTCACATGTTTCACATTTAACTGACTCATGCTATCCTATTTACTAAAAATCAACATCCAAATATAATTGGATTAGCACAGTATAGATTCGATTTAATTGTTACACCATATATATTTCTTTGATGATTTTGATTCTGATTATTACCCTGAAGAAGTCCAAACAAGTTTGTTAGACAAAACATTAGAATTGTTTTAAATTTCAATCTCTGAGATTATTTCAAATATATAATTTTCACATATAATGAATTAATTCTGAAATTCTTCAAATGATTCTCAGGTGAGACTAAAATGTATAGACGACTTTTGAATGACTCTGAAGTAACCTTAAGAGTGTCCACCTCATAATTAAGACCAAATAAGGGGGGTTTGGTTTTGGGGACATAACTGAAGAAATTTTTTTATTTCCTGGAGTTCTAGTGAGAAGCAGTTCCCAGTGAAATTCAACCGGGTCTGTTGTGTGATAGTAACTCACTGAAGACACTCATGGATGTGTCGTTCAATTTTGTGGATTCATTGAAGTTAGACAATAACGCCGATTCAGTGGTGAGACCGATAGGTTGTGGGCTGGAATCCCACGAGGCGGAACCGTGGATGTGCACTGCTGAGGAGTCCCACATTAAGGTGAAACGGCCATCTAGTGCTTCTAGGTTTTCCATGATGGTATAACTTCAATTGACTCATGATCCCAACTGTTAAAATTAACTGAATATATCAAACCATAAGAAATTTCTACTGATTAAAATGAAATAAACGATAATATTGAAAGTGTTATGAGATAATTGTTCATTATGTTAGTTTCTTACTTACTGTTTTTATTACACTAATCATAAATGAACTGTTTTTTCTTCTAACCTACTAAGCAAATAAATTAATTTTCCTTCATTTTATTTGGTACTATTCAACTAAGAATTTGAACTTTCTATTAAACTATTCATAGATTTGATTTTGTTTTCCCTTACTACCTCATAATGTTTAGTATCACTCATATTATTATTATTATTTTTGATTTGAATGTTTATTTGAATGGAATACACTTGCTTTATTCATTATGACATAATATTGTAATATGACACCTTGTAGTTTTAATAACAAAGTGATTATACCAATAAAAAAGAATGTATCAGTTTTATCGTTCATTTGTATATAATCCAACAAGTCATTAGTTCATGGGGATATTTTAAATAAAAGAAGAAATTTCTGAAGAAAAAAATAATCAAAATCTACGCCTTAGTTACATTTTTTATAAGTGAAAGTATAATAAATATATATTTGATTTATGCAAGAATAGAAAAGTGTAGCAACATGAAATGAATTCATTGATGTTGTGGTTTATCATTAATCATTTACAATCTATAAACAATGGTATAGTGAACGCTACTCACAAAGTTGTTTTGTAGCGGAATGCGGCATCGAAGTTGCAATAATTGTCAGATAGAGTGAAGTGTTTCAGTGCATCAAAAGTACTACATTGGTAGAACATTTGGAGGCTAATTGAGAAGATAGTTAAAAGTGCAATACATACCGAAAAATGCAAATGAATGATCGAAGGCTATTTTTATGTATTATGTAAATACTTGGCAACTTCTCTTAATAAAGATAATCTCTTGTTTTATAATGATACTAATTATTTACAACCGATAAGTACATTTTCTATCATACGAAAGTGTTGTAACGGGTGAGTGACTGCAGGGGGTTGATACGCAGCGTTATTATCGATCGCTTCTGTGACAGTGACACGGAAAACACGTAAGGACGACCTAGTGCCCTGATTGGCCCTGCCTCGCTGTCTAGCCCCAGCCAATTGAGTCAAGAACACAAGCCACAGCCCCGGAGTTATGAATCACTATATTTCCAAACATACTTGTTTATATACCAATCAAGCATACCACATCGTACCATAAAATAGGAAACAACATTTACAAAATATTTAACAAGTGAAATAAACATCGACCAATAGGAAATGTACATTTAAGGTCCAAGGCCACCGTAGACTTAACACGACAATTATTGGTATATTTTTCCGACTATCCTAACAGAAAGAATTATAAATTAGCAAAGTAGATGAATATGTATGTTACTAAATATGGAAATTGAAGAGGAAAATTTTTAAAACACTCAAAGATGAAAATCGAGTTCAAAGTTACATAATGATAGCCAAAACATCAGATGAGTAAACGTAGAAAAATGACTTAAAAAAGAAGGAAAGGGGTTTGTTATTGAGAAAACAAAATAAGATATAACGTAATTGAATCACAAAAAATAAAAGTTACCAGGGTATATGGAAATTTACAGCTACCTTTTTGAATACAAGTTTCAGCTTTTTAATACGTTTGGTTTAGATGTAGCGAGGTAAATTCAAAGTTGATTGTGTATTTATTATTTTAAATGATTTTCAAATAACATCATACTTTCCGCTACCAATCAGATGACCATCAGTTATACTGTGGTAAACATGTTGACTTTTTAGTCTTAATTTTTGTAGAATGTGCTTCAAAATGATAACAAGCAAACTCCTTTCTCTCTTTCCGGTGTAATTACTTTTGAATAAACCTGTAAACTGGTAAATAAATTTATCGATCACAAAATGGTATGAATATATATTTTATTGAATTAATAAATCACTCTGAAAACATAGTTTCAAACGACATATTTATGATTGCTTTTGTTTCACTAAGTTGGTTGAAAAGCTTCCGGTTGAAGAGGAAATTAGATGTTGGAATTAGATAGGACATATATTAAGGAAATCACGAGGCAAGTCTTAACTTGGAATCGTGAAGGGAAACGGAAAAGTGGAAGGCCAAAGAACACAGTGTGTTGAGAATTGAAAGCAGACAAGAAAAGGTTGAATAGGAACTGCGAAGAAGTGGAAAGGATCGCTTGGAACAGAATTGGATGTAGAATGTTGGTGGGAGGCCTATGGTCCTCCATGAGGGGTAACAAGGTTAAGTAAGTAAGCTAGTAAAGTTGGTTGAAAACAATTGTGATTTATTTTGGACTAGATCTCTTCTAAATGATAACCTTTTTACTCAACACTTTAATTAATATGCTCATATTACCAATTGAATGATGACGAAACATTACATCAGTAAGAAGGATGATCACCTTTCATTGAGGAATATTTCCTTCTTGTTGATATCAGTTTTTGAAACTGTACAATCGTATTTACATTATTTACACCAGTGAATAACTATTGGTAAATCGTATTGAATACAATTTTTTTTAAAAAAAAATCAACAATTGATTGTTTATTCTATTTCGTTATTGTCATCAATTATCGTAGACTTCTATAAATTCAATATTGAACAACTTCGTTTATATTATTTTAAGATTGTTTATCATGAAATTTTGAAATAAAAACAAACACTTGAGATCATGAATCAACTGAGGCTGGACCACCATGGAAAACCCAGGACCTATCAGTCTCGCCTGGGTTCGAACCCCGCGAGGTGGGGTTGTGGATGCACACTGTCGAGGAGTCCTACAATAGGACGAAACGGCCGTCTAGTGCTTCCAGGTTTTCCATGATGGTCTAGATTCAATTCATTAAAGATCTCAACTATTGAAATTACTACACTCTCCACAAAACCCCTTCTGATAATAAAAACAAACCTTGACCTCGTTATATCATGTATTTATTTATTTATTTAAAAAAGTACCATGTGAATACACCATTCAAAATATTTTTTTAAATTTCCCATTAGTTTTGTTTTTCAATACTAATATAGAAACAATTTGAAATTGTTCACTTCCATTCAAGTAAATAGATGATAATAAACATATGAAATAAAATGACATAATAAATAAAACAGACATATAGCTACTGTATAAAACAACTGATTACATAAGTTAAAGTAGACAGTTCTATACTACTTAATATGAATATTATTATTATTATTTGTTTTATAAAACTAAACCGATATAATGCTTTGCCAAGAGATTCATATAATTCATCTGTAAATGTGTTTGCTGTGTGTGTGTGTGTGTGTGTACATATTACATTTCTATATGCTCGTATAAGACCATTTCCTGTATTTGGTATTTACAGTTCAGAAAGAAACTAATATAAATTGCTAAAATATTATCTATAAACAGCTGTTTATAAATTTTCTGTTCAATGTTGTTATTTTGATGTAAACAAAGTTTAAATAAACAAATCTATAAAGAGGAATTCAAAATTAACTTTTAAAATATGGTAATGTTTATCTGTAAATTTGTTTATCCGTGTTTATTCATGTTTTCACTGTAACTAGTCAAGATTTTAGGATACTACTACTACTACTATTACTACTACTACTACTACTACTACTACTACTACTACTACTACTACTACTACTACTACTACTACTACTACTACTACTACTACTACTACTACTACTACTACTACTACTACTACTACTACTACTACTACTACTACTACTACTACTACTACTACTACTACTACTACTACTACTACTACTACTACTACTACTACTACTACTACTACTACTACTACTACTACTACTACTACTACTACTACTACTACTACTACTACTACTACTACTACTACTACTACTACTACTACTACTACTACTACTACTACTACTACTACTACTACTACTACTACTACTACTACTACTACTACTACTACTACTACTACTACTACTACTACTACTACTACTACTACTACTACTACTACTACTACTACTACTACTACTACTACTACTACTACTACTACTACTACTACTACTACTACTACTACTACTACTACTACTACTACTACTACTACTACTACTACTACTACTACTACTACTACTACTACTACTACTACTACTACTACTACTACTACTACTACTACTACTACTACTACTACTACTACTACTACTACTACTACTACTACTACTACTACTACTACTACTACTACTACTACTACTACTACTACTACTACTACTACTACTACTACTACTACTACTACTACTACTACTACTACTACTACTACTACTACTACTACTACTACTACTACTACTACTACTACTACTACTACTACTACTACTACTACTACTACTACTACTACTACTACTACTACTACTACTACTACTACTACTACTACTACTACTACTACTACTACTACTACTACTACTACTACTACTACTACTACTACTACTACTACTACTAATAATAATAATAATAATAATAATAATAATAATAATAATAATAATGATTATTATTATTATTATTATCATTGGTATTATTTGAGTAAATTATCAACTATTTAAAAAGAACGAGTACATTTTCAGAGAAGGAAAAGTATAATGTTGCTAAATTTAATCTAATACAATGTCTATTGTGAGATAGTTATTCACTGATGATAATGGTGAACGGTGGCTCGAATTTGTAAATTTTTTTGAAGTTAGACATTAACAGCGTTGAATACCAACCGGCTCAGTGGTCTAGATGTTAAGCGTTCATGCACGAGACTAATGTGTGCTGAACTGGAATCCTGCTGGGCGAAGTGGTGTGGAGCGCACTGCGGAGGAATCCTATCATGGGAAGTAACGGCCATCCAATGCTTCCAGGTCTAGCTTCAATTGGCTCATGAATTCAATTATCAAATTACTAATATAACATCATTAAGTAGATAATTTATATTTGAAAAAATATATACATATATATTGCAAGGTCTAAGCGCTGACCATGAGAATCTAGCATGTATATATAGTTATTTATTACACAGGATAAGAAGCAACCTACTAATGGAAAAGAAACAGAGAAGGATTGATAAATGGTCATCTGTGGATTCAAAAGTAGAACAGTTTCAGCATCGAACAAGCGTATTTTCAAAGTTTCTGATTAGTTATTATATTCTTTTAAAGTCAAGTTTGCTCAAAAGCAATAGGATTCCAGATCAGTACGAGACCATTCAGTCGTTTATTCACAATTTATATGTTTATATCTAACAGTTTTATCTAGTTAATTATAGAGCCTAGTCGTTATTCAGTATCATTGTTACACGTCAGTAGAATTTCCAATTGACTGAGCTTACAAGGTATGACATCTCAGTAGAACAAAGATATGAATTAATCTTCTTGAAATGTTTTGATTATGGGTATACGGTGCAACACTGCTTCACGCTCCAAATTTTCAAAAATTATACAGTTGACTTCAATTTATTATGAAAGTCATTTGTGATATGTCGCTTAAAGTTCGGTAACTGAGCAACATATTATCGTAGAATGTGTTTGCTCAATATTTCCTCCTTCTTTTAAGCCCATGTATATTTTAGTATTGAAAGACTAACAACTATGTGGAGGAGCAGCTCACCAGCACTCTCCATCCAACTCTGTTACAAGCAATCCTTTCCACTTCTTCCCAGTTCGTATTCATCCTTTTCATGTCTTCTTTTAATTCTCGAAACAACTTGTTCTTCGGCTTTCTACGTTTCCGTTTTGCCTTCACGATTCCAAGTTAGAGCTTACCTAGTGATGCAGTTCGATGATTTCCGTAATGTGTGTCCCATCCACTTTTACGGACGTTTCCTAATTTCTTCCACAGCTGGAAGCTGTTTTGTTCATTCCCGTAGTAGGCTGTTGTTAATGGTATCCAGTCAATGGGCATTGAGTGTCTTGGATAGACAACTGTTTACAAATACTCGTACGATTTTGATGTTTGATGGTTGTAGCAGTTCGCCGGGTTTCAGCTCCATACAGTAGAACTGTCTTGACGTTTATATTGAAGATTGTGTCTTTGATATTGGTTGGCAGTTGTTTTGAGTTGCATATATTCTTCAACTGTACGAATGCGGCCCTTCCTTTGCCAATCCTTGACTGTTTGTCTGTATCAGATCCTCTTCTTTCATCGATGATACTGTCCAGGTACGTAACTACTAGGAGTTATTTATGTACTGTTATTATATATATTGTCTATGTCTAAAATATTGGAATCATACAGTGGAAGCTGAGATTGTGTTGGGGATTCAAGGGGAAGGTATAGGCGAGAGGAATCAATCGGGTCAAGGTTGTATAATTCGGTATTCTGATTGGCAATTTATTCAAGTAATATATTGACGGGCATAAGAATTTAACACAAATGGTATCATCAAATACACAACCACAAACAAACAAGCAAACATACAAAAAGTAATAACAGTAAGCACAGTAAGCACCCTTGTTAAAAAATGCAAACTGTACATCGATACATCCACATAAAAATAATTTCATCGGTCATAATAACTGATTCATGAGGTATGAACAAAAAACATTTTGAACATGATTATTTGTTACGTATATTACAATATAATATATTCGACAATTAATTCACTATTCACATATTTTAATTCATAAATTTGTAATATTAAGTCAAATGAAAGGTAGTCTTGTAGGAATTATTTACAACTAGAATAGATTTTTTAAAAAAAAGCAAGATGGTACTCTAAGAAGATCTATCTACAGGAAACCCATGTGGAATGGCCAACTATCAAATTTCCACAGCTGGGTTCCCATCAGTCGAAAAAGAAACTTAATAATAACACTTGCCACAAGAATACGAAGAATCTGTAGTCCCGAAGTCATAGATGAAGAATTGGACCTCTTAAATGAGATACTTATCAAAATCGAGTATCCTTCGATATTCATTGTTAAGAACATAAAACTGAAAACTCCGAAAACACAAATGATTACAGTAGAAAAGAAAACTTTATACGTGAACATCGACTTCAAGGGTGACAAAACCACATACATCTTAAGGAGGAGAATTTCTGATGCCTTAAAAAGAATAATCTTTGCAGCAACATTGCGAATAGTATTCTCCAGCCGATCATTGTTCTTTAATAATCTGAAAGATAAATTATCGCATCTGACCAACTCAATGTGCGTTTACCAATTTACCTGCTCTTGTGGAGCTAGGTATAAAGGTCGTTTGATGCGTACTTTATCCAAAAGAGTTCAAGAACATCATCCGGCGTGGCTAAAAAGAGGAGGCAACGGCCAAGGAGCACCAGTTCCCTCAAGATTAAAGGTATACCTTGCTGACGAGTGCCAAGTAGCACGAAACCCGAGTCCAGGGTTTCCTGTTGACTACCTCCAACCACCATCTGATCTCGATTACATTTAATATCAATTTCAACATTTTATCTTATCATGCTGAGCCATCCTTTCCCATTGGTAATTTTCTTATCTATTTTTTGATGAATACTTGAGTCATTAATAATCAAACGATTATTAAACTTCCCTCGTTTTTTAAAAGAATTTTTTTAATACTTTTGTTTATTTAATCTCACTGTCGACATGTCTAACAGAAGTTTATTATCAGTAAAAGTAAGTGTACATTATTTGCGATTAAACAGCTTTCACAATTGATTGATCACTGGGTGGTAATCAATGTCATGCTTGTCTAGTCCTTATTAGTGCAGATCGAATGCTATCGATCATGTTGCAATGTGGCCAACAGTCTAGGTGACTCGACACTGCGGGCACTATGTATTGAGATTTAGATGGTGGTTGGAGGTAGTCAACAGGAAACCCTTTTGACTACCTCCAACCACCATCTAAATTAAACAGCTTTGAAAATGAATTCGCCGAAAAGAGAACTCTTCGCTGAACTAATCTTTCTTAGTTAAAAATCAATTTCACTTGTCTCTTAAAATTTGGATATTAACATTTGAAAAAGATAAAAACAAATATTAAAAAAAATTGGAAGAAAAAACCCCTAATCAGAATCATTAAAATATTAAAAGTATACGTTTACATTATGAAATAAATGGCAAGATGATAATTTATGGACAAGTCAATTAGATTTTAGTTAGCAAGTCTTGGATTTTGGTTGAATACCATTTTGATATTATAGCTGATGTTAGTGTTAGGTATGCTGAGGAATATACCAATCATTATCATGTTAAGTCTAATGATGTCCTTGGACTCTAAATGGGCATTCCCTATTGGCCATTATTTATTTCACTCGTTAAATATTGTACAGATGTTGTTTTCTATTTTTATGGTACGATGTGGTCTGTTTGGTTGGTATATAAACAGAGTATGTTTGAAATATAACGGTTCATAACTCAGAGGCTGTGACTTGAGTTCTGGACTCAACTGACTGGGCTAGACAACGGAGCGGGACCAATTGGGTCTCTAGGTCGTCCTTACGTGTTTTCCGTGTCACTGATTCGATCGATAAATACGCTGCGCATCTAACCTGCAGTCCACACGTTGCGACAGTTGGTTCGTAATGAAAGCCCTAAATTGAACTCCTAACCGTAACCATCAATTTTAAATCCTAATCTTAATTGCCTATACTAATCTAGAACTTTCATTTAAGATGGACACTCCAGGGTCATTTTAACGTTATTCAAATGTTGTTCATAAACTGTAATCTCACCAATTGAACTTCATTGAATATGGTGTGTAATAAAACATTTGTATAATAATATAACTAATGTAAAATTTATACCGTTCAAAGTTTATCATAAACTTTGAGATATAATGAATTCATTTTATTCAGTAAATATTCCTCTTCTTACTTCAACGGATCAGAATGTATGGAATATTTCGATATTGTTCAGGTCAGTAGTTGAATTGTGAAATATTCATTATTATTCTAGATAGTAATCTTTGTGAAACAATAAGAATATATAACAAGTATTTATTTATTCTAATGAACTTGGTTTATAATTGGTTCTATTCATACATACTTTTATTTCTAGTGACTATTTTATTACGTTAAATGATTTGAATTATTTTTTTCTGATTAGCGCTAACCCAATAACCCTCCTCCATTATTCGGGCTTTGAACCGGTAACAGGCCAAGAGGGGTGCCAGACGGAGGTTTTACTGCAGCATATTTGAAATTGAAGAACATTTGGAACTCAAAACAACTATCAAACAACACCAAAGTCAGAATATTCTATACAAATGTCAAAACAGTTCTATTCTATAGAGAGGAATCTTGGAGAACCAATGAAGCCATCATTCAGAAAATACAAGTGTTTATTATCAGTTGTCTGTACAAAATACTTCAGATCCATTGGTCACACACTATCAGCAACAATCTACTGTGGGACAGAACAAACCAGATTTTAATGGAGTAAGAAATTAGGAAGAAGCACTGAAAGTGAATAGGATACACATTGATGAAAACACCCAACTGCGTCACGAAGCAATCCCTCACTTGAAATCCTCAAGGCTAAACAAAGGAGGAGAGGAAGACCAAAGAACACATTACACCGAGAAATAGAGACAGACGTGAGAAGAATGAACAAGAGTTGTATAAAAGTAGAAAGAAA